GCGTGGAGGACGTAGCCACTCTCCACGCATCGATCCGAGCATGCAGGCCGCGGACTAACTAGGCACGACAAAAGGAAAAGAGAGAGCGGGAAAGATAAAGCTCAAGAAGAAAGATACAATTATAATGGCGCCCGCCCAAAATTACAGTTACTTGCAAGATTAAGGGCGCTGACTAATCAGAGCTCCGTTGCAGCCGCAAAAAGAAGCGCGCAAGCAGAAGGCGTTGCGCGGCAAAAGAAAATCCTAAATTCCAAAATTCCTAAATTCCTATCTAATGCGAAAATGTAAAAAACACAAATTCCGGAAGGAAAGTCCGAAGTTCCGAGAGCCGTCAATGCTCGACAAGATTCAAAAAGGAATTTAAAAGAAAATTCGAAAAGCACGAAGCAAAATCCCCACCCGATCTCCTCGCCTAAAATCCGACCGCCAGAACAAAAAGAGACGACGTCAACCATTATTACTCACGCGCACATCGGCGCGCCACTCAACCGATCATCCCAGGACTTGCCCAGCCCTGAACCCAGCTATCCAAAAAGAAGCGACGCAAAAAGACGAAGAAGCGAGGACACCGATGCAATTTCCCTTCGATCCTGATCTCCCATAATTGGCCCAACCTTCCCATCTTAGGACCCCTCATTGTCATCGCGTAGAAAATCGCGAGGAACATAAATTGGTTCGTCACAGCATCCCATGAGTGTGCCACACTCACAGACCAACGCACTTTCCACTAGCACACAAGCACAACCATCCGTCACCCAAGCAGCTTCGGGCGATAGCGCTGTGCTCTCCTGCAGACCACCAATCTGTTTCCCCCCACCCCCCAAAGGCTCAACCGGTTCAATTACCTGTCGAATCTGGACAGGACGACCTTTGAGGCCTTTTCATTATCATTACACCATTACGGGGAGCCCATCGCAGCCACATATGTGTTCATCATGCCTCCAACGAGGAAACATGCGGAAGCAACCCCCAGCAGGGGGGTGCAGCATTACGGGGAACCCATCGCAGCCACATCCGTGTTCATCATGCCTCCAATGAGGAAACATGCGGGAGTTGCACCCCCCAGCAGGGGGGTGATACGCCGATACCAACCAGGGATATCAGCCACGGGTCAGCCTGGTGGCATCAAAGACCATATGATGTGAACCAATCTTTGTGCCTCCCCTCCGGTGTCCTCCCGGGCTACGTCTCTATGGTGGACTCCAAGTATGCCCAGCAAGGTGAATGAGGCGAGTGAATCGGGACTCCCCAAGTATGCCCAGGGCGGTACATAAGGCGAATGAATGGGGATTGAACCCATGACGTCCTTAAACCACCAGTACCCTTCCCATATGTCGGCCGCGGGCACTGCGCGCCGGCCGGCCCAAAAATCGCCAGTGGCCACTGATTCTATTTATCGGCGGCCGCCCTTCCATTTCAGGCCAGTGCTTTACCCCGTGCTCCTCTGAAAAAATAGCTGGGAAAGGTACTCGTTTGGCTTACCAAATGGCCTAAGGCAGTTCGTTGTGAATCTTTTCTTCTTGGGATTTTTTTTTAATTATATATTTTTAATTTTTATTATTTAAAGCTCAGGGTGTTGTAGAGGCCGGTTACTAGGCACACATTGATCGCCGGGAGCAGTCAGCCATGGTCGTCCTGAGGGAACGAGGCTACCTTCCCATCCCATCCTCACATCAATACTCCTAGCGCACCCCCTATCTCTACTATCCTACCTCAGTGTGACCAGCACTCAGGACCATTGCCCCTATCGAGGGGAACTTGGACCGAACAGCAGTGACAGGCACTAGGGCTAGCCATGACCCAGCCCTGGTGGAAGCGGAATCGAATGAACCTCGTCGCATGGGAACTTCGGACGCCAGGCCCAACCAATCTCCTACTAGCCCCTAAGTTGACCAACTGGTAACTCACGCCCTCTACTCGCCCACCACAGTTCTAGTAGATTTTAGGGCAGGGTACTTATCCTCGAAACGCCTATCCTCATCGTTAGTTAGTTCAGACCAACCAGTGACTCACGCCCTCTACTTCCCCCCACAGCTCTAGTCTGCCACCCACAGTCTAGCTGATATTAAGGGGGGTACTTATCATCGAGACGCCTATCATCATCATTAGTTGATCCAGACCAACCAGCGACTCACGCCCTCCACTGACCTAGCTGATATTAAGGGGGATACTTATCATCGAACGCCTATCCTCATTATCATTCATCGTGACCTTCTCCCAGCCCTATGGTTGTGAATGTGTATATATGCTCTGTATTTGTAGATGTGTGCCCGTGGGCTATGTGTATGTTCGTTATGTGTATGTGGACCCGATTCCATAGCAGACGCTGCTCCCCACCATGGAGCATCTGCAAGGTGAGTGTATAGTATGTGTGTATGGTATGTATCGTAGTTGCGCTATCTGGGGCGGTATCACTGTGTGTGGATATATATGGTAGAGACAGGCCTATCTGGACTGGACTCCCCCCAAAGTCCGAAATCGGACTTGAACCTGTGACCTACAGTATGAAACTGGAGGGTTCTACCACATCCGGATATAATGTGTGTAATATCTGGGCTGGGGGAGATCATCAGAGCGACCAAAGCCAACAACAACAGCAACCAAGGTGAAGTCTAGGCCACCATACAACACCCATGGACTCACCCCCAGGTGGTGCGCAGGCAGTGTCTGTAATAGTACCATGCGTCAGCCCAGGGGTATGTGTGTCCAGCCGTGCGTCATTCTAACGCCCTGCGGGTGTCCATGCACAAGACTGCGGAGTTTTGAACCCCCAACCTCATATCACAATGCGCATTTCCAACCGGTGCTCTAACCACTGAGCTACATCAACTGCTCTTGGGATATCTTCATTGATCCGATCGGCCCTATGTGATTCAGAATGATTTATTCAAAAAAAAAAAAAAAAAAAAAAAAATCCATTCATCAAGGCCGAGAATTTGGGATATCTTCACTGCTCTTGGGATATCTTCACTGCTCTAACCACAATGCGCACTACTAGCCATCGGCCAACATTTTGAATGCATCTGGACACGAAATATGTCCACGTGCATTCGGTTCGGAATGTTGTCAGATGGAGAGTAGTGGGGCCCTACCCGGTAGTAGGCTCGTTGGTGGTGTGACTTTTTTTTTTTTTTTTTTCGTGTGTGTGTCTCTTTTCCTTTCCTCGGTTGTTTTCTTTTTGAATCCTCCGCGCTCTTCCGGCTCATGTCATCATATTGATTGCACGTGGTCGTTATTGAAGTCCGGTACATTTAGGAAATACGAGTTTGGTATGCCCAAAGCCTTACGCGCGCGCGCGCGCGGGGCTCCTTATCAGCCATTCGCGACGGCGATTTGGATTCACCCAAGACCCGATCGGAGGCGGCGACCGGTCTGAGAATCAGGCTTCTCTAGCTACCGGTCGGGTGAGTGGATCTGCCGTGTGGGCCGTCGGCCGACGCGTACCGGTAGTAAGGCACGGTCCGGGTAATTTTCCAGTTCAGCGGTCGCGGGTCAGCGAGTCGCGCGAACCGGTCGCTCGAAGCGGCCGGCCCTCCGTGTGCGTGCAGGGTGCCCCCAGGCGGTGGCGGGTGCGCGAGCAAGCGGACCGCGGTCCGGCGCATCGTGCGACCGGACTGCCCGCCGTTGCGGCGCAGGATCTTTGTTCGTTTGGGTGCGCCGCCCCCCGCACGCACGGCGGTTCTTTTTGGCGGGGCATTCAAACTGGCTGGAGGAGATTTTTTTTTTTTTTTTTTTTTTTTTTTTTGAGCTGGCGGAGAAATCGGTCTGCCCAGGATGGGCCTCGCTGCACTACTCTCGAAATGTGCAAAACGAGAGTGAATCTTCCGGTAGAACAAAGAAAGATACATCGCCATGATTTTTGTCTTTTGCGCGTTTCCGACGTAGCGGAGCGACGCCCGATGTCCTACGGTAGTCTCCCGCGGCCAGCCTTTCGACGTGGCAAATGCCAGTGCCACGTGGCAAATGCCAGTGACACGTGGCAAATGATGGAAATGCCACACGACAACAGAGAGGGGCCTACCGGTGGCAGCGCGCGATTTATCAGCCTAAGGGGGGGGCAGGGCGGCGGCGGGGGCTAGGTCCCACTTACACGAATTAGGCGACATTGACCGTAGATTGCAAATATCAACGGTCAGATTTTCCTAATCCGTGCAAGTGGGACCTTGCCCCGGGGGAGAAGGGAAAGCGGAGACCGGCGGAGCGAAGAAAAGGTTGTAAAGTCGTTCGCTTTGCGCGCCGCCGCGTAGGGATTCGAGCCGTCGTCCGCGGTGCTTGGTGGCGCAAAGCATTCCGCTCAACGTCCCCCGGCCCTTTACTTACCCGCCCATCGGGCGGCGCACGGGGACTGCGGCGCGCCACTCGCCAGCAGTGCGCGCCAATGCTTCTGCAGGCCGACAAGTGACACGTCAGCTGCGCGCCAAGCTTTCCTCTTTCCTCCGTCTTTTATTTTGTTTGGGGTCGTCGCGCTCTTCGTGCAAAATCGAAACTGTTGTTGTTGTTGTTGTTGTTKTTTTTGTTTTTTTTTTTTTTTTTTTTTTTTTTTTTTTTTTTTTTTTTTTTTTTTTTTTTTTTCCGGTTTCCTTCGTCGTCCTGCTCTCGAGGGAGACGAAGAATCTGAAAAAAAGAAAAAAAAAATGGAACATCAACGTAAAGACACGTGGCAGGCAATGTGAAGACACGTGATCGAAAGCCACGCGGCTGGCAGAGCAACCAGAGAGAGATGAACGGCCTGCGCCCCACTGCTGTCCACATGCACAAAAGACAAAAAAAATATGCCGGTGTATTTTTCCATGTTCTAGCAGAAGATTCATTCTCATTTTTGACTAGCGGAGCGATGGCCAAATTAGTATTATGGGGTCAAGTTCGGTAACGACACGTGGCAGGCAATTTTTAAAAAGCCACGTGGCTGTCACAAGAAAGGGAAAAGACACGTGACATGTGGCAGGTCATCTAAATCGAGACGGTTATCAGAGGGAAGCGATAAAGTGGGGTAGCTTGTGGTGAAGACACGTGGCAGGCAGGCAGGCAGGCAATGAAACAAGCGAGTTGATTGTGCAAAGAAGAAGGGAATAGAGGATGATTATGGTGGGTAGCTTGTGGTAAAGACACGTGGCAGGCGGAGATCTAACGCGGAGTGCCGACCAAAGAGCCGAAACACGTGGCAGTCAAGCAGGAGGAGCAGAGATGGACTGATTGTGCGAAGGAGGAGGGGATAGAGTATATGATTATGCGTAGTTCGTGGTAAAGACACGTGGCAGGCGGCGATCTAACGTGGCCAGACGACCAAAGAGCCGAAACACGTGGCAGTCACTCGCTCGATTTGACACGTCAGACGCATACATACTTTAAAAGCGGACGGATGCAGATGCTATCTTTAGCTTGTGGGCGACGTGGTTGCTAGTTATGACAAGATGAGCTAAGAAGATATGTGATTGGAAGGAAACCGAATGCTCCGATGGTAAGGAGGGTCTCTTTGCTACTCTCTCTCTCTCTCTCTCTCTCTCTCTCTCTCTCTCTCTCTCTCTCTCTCTCTCTCTCTCTCTCTCTTCCCACCGTCTTCTTGGCCCCCTCTCCTCCTCCCTCTTTTCCTCCCGCCGCTCTCGCTCCCTCTTCCTCCCTTCGTTCGTCTTTGTTGTCTTCTCCCTCTCTCTCTCTCTCTCTCTCTCTCTCTCTCTCGATTCCCTCCATTTCGTTCCTCCCTCCCTCTCCCCCTCTTCTCTCTCTCTCTCTCCTCCGTCCCTCTTCTCCCTTTGCGTTTGAGAACTCTCTCTCTCTCTCTCTCTCTCTCTCTCTCTCTCTCTCCTGTCGGGAAAAAAAATGCCGAAAGGGAGTTAAAAAAAGAAAAGAATGGGGGCGAGAGGGAGGGAGGGGGGAGGGAAGGGAGGGAGGGAAGGAGGGAGGGAGGGAGAGAGGGAGGGGAGGAGGGAGGGCCTAAGCAACACTTGGGGGAGAACGTGGTCGATGCGAAATGGTGGGAGGCCTTTGGCTTGTACGTAAGAGGTGATGAACAGGTGGGGCTTTCCTTCCTTCCTTCTTTTCCTTTCCTTGTTTTGCCTTTTTCCGCCTTTGCGCTCCGATTCACAGTAGCCCATTGACAGGCGATATATACACTATATCCCATTGATAGAGGGAAGGGTCTGGAAGGGGGGCTACTACGGTGTTCCCCCGAATACAACGTACAGTCCTTATTGCTGTATCTAGACTCAAAGTTGCCCCAAATACAGCCATAATGACCGTACGTTGTACTTGGATGAACACAGTAGCATGAAAGACAAGTATTGGGGGCAATTCCTGGGCAAATAAATTGTCTAAGGGGGAGGGGGGTGTTAGGGGGCGGGATGGGGAGCAAAAGAGAATTGGGAAGAAAGGGGGGGAAGGGGAAGAGGGGGGGGGGGGGGGAGGGGAGATAAATTAAAAGAAGAATTTGATCAGAACACGGGGAATAAAAACGGAGAAGAGTAGTTAAAGCTGTCTCTTTCAGATTTGAATGATTACGGGGGAGTACTGAGTACTGGTCGATTAGAGAGAGAGAGAGAGAGAGAGAGAGAGAGAGAGAGAGAGAGAGAGAGAGAGAGAGAGAGAGAACACTTGCAACATCGGACAACACGTGCGAGGCTTTACTTTCACAGTATGCACGTCCTGTCCATGGCATGCGACAAACCACTTGCCGCGACTACCCTTCTGCCTCACTTCTCGAGAGAGAGAGAGAGAGAGAGAGAGAGAGAGAGAGAGAGAGAGAGAGCGAGAGCGAGAGAGAGAGAGAGAGAGAGTGGGTACAGAATGGTTCGATGGTTATGACCAGGTCCGATTGGGAGGAGCATGCGACAAACGAAGAAGTGTAACGGAAAGGAAAATAGCAAATACAAGAAAAAAAGGAAATTATGGGTTTCCTTTTTTTATCTTTCCGAAAAGGAAAGTTTGACCGGATGGCCTTCACCGGCAGATTGGGAGGAGAGAGAGGTGAGGGTGCTGGAATCGTCAAAGGGCAAAGACAAGAAGACGAGAAAGTCCTTGGGGACATCCGTTAAAACTGGAATGATAGAGAGAAAGAAGATTAGCATGGCCCCTGCGGAAGGATGGACACGCAGAAATCGAGAAATGGTCAATTTTTTTTTATTTTTTTTTTTATAAATGGAATGATACAGAGAAAGAGGATTAGCATGGGCCCTGCGGAAGGATGACACGCATAAATCGAGAAATGGTAAAAAAAAATAAAAATAAAAAAATAAATTGGAATGATACAGAGAAAGAAGATTTAGCATGGCCCCTGCGGAAGGATGACACGCATAAATAGATAAATGGTCCAAATTAAGAATAAATAAATGTAAAACGAAAAAAAAAGGATGAGGCAAAGGGTTGAAGTATGACACGTATGTTGAACAGCAAACGAATCAAAGAGTGAAAAAAACAAAAACGGAACGAAAAAGAAAAAGAACCCAACCGCCGAACGGAACCAAACGGGAACCTAACGATAAGCAGATGGACGCAAACGGAAGCAGACGGCAGCACCACGGGAGCAAACGGAAGCCAACGGAAGCCAACGGTTGCAAACGGAAGCAAACGGAAGCAAACGGAAGAAAGCAAGTGCAAGCAAACGGAAGCAAACGGCAGCAAAAACTTTCAAAGAAACGAGAAAAGCAAAAGTAAGCATAAACGGAAGATAAAGAACGAACGCTAAGTTGCTAACGGAAATACGGATGTGGAAAAGTGCACACGTAAGCAATGCACATAGTCACCGAGTAGTGAAAAAAACACGGCACAGACGCGAAAAAAAAAGAAAAGAAAAAAGAACAACCGAAAAATAAATAAATAAATAAATAAACAAAGTTGATTAAAACAAATCAGGGAAAAAAAAAAACGAACGAAACAAATATCGAACGAGGACATTGGCCTGGCTCAGTTGGTACACCCCTGAACTGAACTGTTGAAAGTACAGACCTGAGTCTGAACTCCCCTGGAAGCAGATGAGTAAAAATACTACAATTAAAAAAAAAAATAAAAAAAAAACTACAATTAAAAGAAGAAGAAGAAGAAAAAAACTACAATTAAAAAAAGAAGAAGAAAAAAAAAAACTACAATTTAAAAAAGAAGGAGAAAAAAAAACTACAATTCTGAAATTGCCTTGAGACGGTCAGTTCGTTGATGAGATCTCAAGGCCGTCGCCCTTTTTTGAAAGGGATAAAAAAAAAGGCCAAAAAAAAAAACACAGAAATATGCAGTAAACAGGTCAAACAAGTAAACAACAAAATAAATAAATAAATAAATAAATAAATAAATAAATAAATAAATAAATAATCAAACAAATAAACAAATTCAACATGGTAACAGATTAAAAAAAAACAAACTAAATCAGCCAGGGGCACAAGCAGAAAATCTGAGAAAAAAAAAAAGAAACAGAGGAACGAAAGAGCGGTCAAACCGTTCAGTTGTTGCGCACCCAAACCTTTTTTTTTTTTTTTTTTTTTTTTTTGTAATTCGGACCATTTCTCAATTTATGCGTGTCATCCTTAGATCCGCAGAGGCCTTGCTAATGGAGCGTATAAGGGTGTCTCGAAGGACCGATTTTTATTTTTTTAATTTTAAGAAAATGGAGGGAAAAAAAAATAAAATTACAATGAAAAAGAAAATCGGGTGTTATCGTACTACTTTTGCACACCCGAATTGTTTTCTTTCACAATTTTTTTTAAATTTTCATAGGAAATTCCATTTTCTTTCAGTTGTGTTTTTGCACGAAAAGTTTCCTTTTTTCCGCACTTAAAAGAATCCTTTTTATCCACAAAGTGAGTCGAGAAGGAAAAGAACGAAATTAAAAACGAAAAAGAAAAGTAAAAGAAAAAAAAAGAATATGCTGTGTTGGAAATTTCCTCAAAATACCGCGGTCAGAAGAAATTGCATCTTCCCCTCTCCTCCCCCCCCCCCCCCCCACACACACACACAAAAAAAAAAAAAAAAAAAAAAAAGTAAGACTTGTTCTGGAAACTGAGCCAGGTGCATTGTATGTACCGGGGTGTGAAGACGGTCAGATACAGTCTTCGATACCGCGGTCAGAAGAAAATGATATTAATTTTGAAACACAGCCACGTGCATTGTCGGGGCGTGATTACATTATGGGCCTGGCTCCACTAATCATGAAATGTCCAAATCGAAGAATGAATCTTCAGCTAGAACATGGACACATTCACTGTCATATTTTGTGTCTTTTGCGCATGTAGTGAGTAGTGGAGCGAGGCCCTAAGACTGGGGGTGAAATGGTATTTCAAACCTTTTTTTTTTTTTTTTTTGTATTTCGAAATTTTGAACAATCCAAAAAAAAAACAACAACAAAGAGGCTGATAATATAAGAGAGTGAGTTTCACTAATGCACCTGGACGTAATCAGTGCATAGGGGCATGATCTGTACCTGGGCGTGAAAGGCGTCCAGGTTCCCACTCTGACGGGACCTGGAGTAGAGTTTCGAAAATTTTGAAGAGTTTAATGCGGAGACCTCGTTTTTATTTATTATTATTATTATTATTATTATTTCAGGATGATCTATGGCAGATGCTAATTAACACAGTTTTTCCTAAAATTTGTTTTTTAACTTTTAAGCAGGGTTCCGGGCGTTCGGCACGGGTTCGGGACGGCCGTTGGGCCGAATGAGGACCCCCCCCCCCCACCAAAAAAAAAAAAAGATTTCCGAAAAATCTGAAAAAAAAATGTTATGCAGAAGAATAAACTAAACAACATTTGCCTCAACGTTACATCCAAATTATTTACCAAATTTGAAATAAAAATCACATACTGAAAATAAATAATAATTAATGAAAATTAAAAAAAATAAAACGAGAATAAAATTATTGAGTGGGCGAGCACGGTTTTGGCACCGGCATCTTTGGCGATTATTCATTTTTGTTTGGCTGTGGCAAATGACATGAAAATTTTTATATGTGTATCTTACATAATAGAGAATCTAGAAATAAAGTTAAAAAAAATAATATTTTTTTCATGCCCCGAAATAAAGGAAAAACAAAAAGTGAAAAGAGAGAAAAAAGAAATTAGTGAGTGGGCAAGCAAGTTTTGACACCACCATTGGATTGGAAAGAGCGAAGGCTAATCACAGCGTCGACTGAGATCAGTGGCACGCGACACATAAGCAAGTTGCTGAAAAATACAACCCGCCAGAATATGTGAAAACTCGGAAATTACTCAGAAGTTACTCTTCTGCAACACCAAGAGTATCTCTTCGAAAGATCTGCAACAAAGCTCAAGAGGAAGCCATAGCCAGGCTAACCCTGGTGATGGCTGTCTGGCTTCCCTCGACCGGTTTCGGCTAGAGCCAGTTCTAGCCTCATCAGGAGGGGTAA